AACCAATGAAATTGAAATGAGCAAGTGGAATTTTAAATTAAAAATACATTAACATTTACATTAGCACCCCAGAAAAAAGTGAAATACTCAGATATAAATCTAATAAAATATTTTCAAGAAGTAGATGAAGAAAATTGTGACACTTTTTCTCCTCTAAATTCTATGCTTTTTCCACAGAAAATTTCCATTGCTCCAGGGTGTGGGCCATGGTGGCTACCCTGGTCCACCTTCAGCTACCTTAAGACCCAATAGTATTGATTATGATACCTCATGTCTTCATAGCCCATCTCATGTTTCTTCTCACATGGGTGAACTCCTAGTAATTGTGATTCTTTAAAAAAAGTGTATCTTGATGATGGACTGTTACTCAGCTATGACAAGAATGAAATCCTGACATTCACAACAAAATGGAAGCAACTGGAGATCATTATATTAAGTGAAATAAGCCAGACCCCAAAAGACAAATCACTACATGTTTTCTTTTATTTGTTGTAGCTAGTATAGACACAATATAAAGAGTGTGTGTGTATGTTGTATCATTCAGTATGGATCATACTAGTTAAATGACAAAATATTTTTCTTTTCTATGTTAAAGAAATGGAGAGGCAGGGAGAGTGAGGACTCTTGGGCTACCAGAATATGTTGTTCTTAATTTGGATGTTGGTTATGAGTGTGAACAGAGGATGCAAAACTCATTTATTTACACACTTATGTGCATTTCTTGGTATGTATACAGTATTTCTTTTTCTTTTTTTTAACTTTTATTTAATGAATATAAATTTCCAAAGTACAGCTTATGGATTACAGTGGCTTCCCCCCCATACCGTCCCTCCCACCCACAACCCTCCCCTTTCCCACTCCCTCTCCCCTTCCATTCACATCAAGATTCATTTTCGATTATCTTAATATACAGAAGATCAGCTTAGTATACATTAAGTAAGGATTTCAACAGTTTGCTCCCACACAGAAACATAAAGTGAAAAATAATAGATGATTTTTTTTAAATGATGATGCAATCAGATCAGACCTGTTGTCATGTTAATCCCAGTGAGAGTCAAGTTGGGAGTTGATAGTTTCTTTGTTTTTTTTTTTTTTTTTTACAGAGGATCAGTTTAGTATGCATTAAGTAAAGATTTCAACAGTTTGCACCCCCATAGAAACACAAAGTGAAATATATTGTTTGAGTACTCGTTATAGCATTAAATCTCAATGCACAGCACATTAAGGACAGAGATCCTACATGAGGAGTAAGTGCACAGTGACTCCTGTTGTTGACTTTACCAATTGACACTCCTGTCTGGCATCAGTAATCTCCCTATGCTCCAGTCATGAGTTTCCAAGGCTATGGAAGCCCTCTGAGTTCTCCGATTCTTATCTTGTTTAGACAAGCTCATAGTCAAAGTGGAGGTTCTCTCCTCCCTTCAGAGAAAGGTACCTCCTTCTTTGAAGACCCGTTCTTTCCACTGAGATCTCACTCACAGAGATCTTTTGCCAGAGTGTCTTGGCTTTCCATGCCTGAAATACTCTCATGGGCTTTTCAGCCAGATCCGAATGCCTTTAGGGCTGATTCTGAGGCCAGAGTGCTATTTAGGACATCTGCCATTCTATGAGTCTGCTGAGTATCTCACTACCCATGTTGGATCACTCTCCCCTTTATTTATTCTATCGGTTAGTGTTAGCAGATACCAGACTTGTTTATGTGCTCCCTTTGACTCTTAGTCCTTTCATTATGATCAACTGTGAACTGAAATTGATCACTTGGAATTCAATAAAATGTTAGAAAAGAAAGAAAACATACCCTGGTTTGTCTTTGGCTTCCTGGACACCTTACGGCCTCACTGAAAGATTGACACATCCTTGAGGGGTACATGGGGCATTTCAGCTTTGAAGCTGTTCTTGACAAACATTGCAAGGTGCACACACAAAGAGGCTTTAGTTCTGAATACCAGGTGGCCAATGCTACCACAAACAGATGTGTTAAAGAAGAAGACTTAGTGAAAGGTTAAGGAGAAGTGAGCCTCTTTGGATTTCAGGATCATCACTTGCAGGATATTTCACAGGGTTGCAGAAGACTCGCTAGTGGTTTCCAGATTTTACCCTCTGTGCAAGATAGGCAGGTGGGGAGGATTTTTCAAGAACACTTCTAACAACTAGCATTCTGTGTTTCTTTCTCTAGTTATGCTATAGGGATTTCTGGTGCTCACTGTTTTTCTAATGAATACTTCTGGTATTCTGGGCCAGAATACATCTACTCAGGTTCTTAAAAATCAGTATTTCTACTACATGCCATTTCTACTTTTGAAATTCAATTTGTAGCCGGCGCTGTGGCTCACTAGGCTAATCCTCTGACTTGCGGCGCCAGCACACCGGGTTCTAATCCCGGTCAGGGTGCTGGATTCTGTCCCGCTTGCCCCTCTTCCAGGCCAGCTCTCTGCTGTGGCCAGGGAGTGCAGTGGAGGATGGCCCAAGTACTTGGGCCCTGCACCCCATGGGAGACCAGGATAAGTACCTGGCTCCTGCCATCGGATCAGCATGGTGCTCCGGCCGTAGCGTGCCAACTGCGGCGGCCATTGGAGGGTGAACCAATGGCAAAGGAAGACCTTTCTGTCTCTCTCTCACTGTCCACTCTGCCTGTCAAAAAATAAAAAAAAAAGAAATTCAATTTGTAGTATTTTTTGTTCTTAAGGTCTTTGCATTTTAATGTAACACTCAAGTAAAAGGTACCTTACCCAGGCCACTAGTTTAGATATCTTTGTGGCAACACATCTTGCTCAGTTCTCCTAGAAATATCTATAGGTCAGGACAAATATGAATCTCACTAGTATTTTTAATGTATGGTTGTGAAGAAATGATAAATAGACAAAAGATAAACTCAAACATATTTCCGATGTTTTCATGTTAGGGTAAAATTCACTGTATCTCTTTTATTATCTGATCACTGTGAGAAGACAAAAGATCAGATGTCCTGGGCACCAGCTCCTCTCAACTTCACAGTTGAACCTGACCCTTACTCTTGTAGGCCTATGTTAACAGGTTGCCTGTTTTTACCTGTTGCCAGGACAATATAGTCCATGGAGGAATTCCTTGTGCAAAGGCAGCTGACCAAAGCAGAAGTCTTCTAATAGCATTGGAAGTTGAACTGTAGACAAAATATTTTGAATTATTATCATCGGCACTTTTCTGTTCATATGCTGGTGGTCGATGCCACAGTACAGCCCATGGAGTTCCTGCTCACTCTGATCTCACATGTGAATTAGTGCATTGACTTGTGGTTTACCTGGAATAGACTGAACCATCCTGAAGCGTCAGGGTAGGCAGTTTTATATATAGGGCAGACCACACACTCATGGGACAGAGTCTAATTGGCTGCCACATTTTTTCCACATTCTAGTGACTACAAATATGCTTAAATTTGTCATATTTTCATTTTTTAAAAAAGGAAATTTCAATACAATATTTTCTTTGTAGGGCTTGCTTTTGTTGTTCTTGACTTTAAAGGACTCTCTTTAAATTTGAGAGTCAGAGAAACAGAAAGAGATAAAGAGAAATGGACAGGTGTGTGTGTGTGTGTGTGTGTGTGTGTGAACAAGAGAGAGAGAGGGTGCTCTCATCCACTGGTTCACTCCCCAAATACCCACAATGGCCAGTGCTGGCCTGAAGCCCAAAGCTAGGAGAGAGCCGGGGATGAAATCCAAGTCTCACGTGGATGGCAAGAACCCAATCACTTGAGCCATCACTACACTGCCTCCAGCAGTCTGCTTGCAAGAAAAAGGAGCCATTTCCAGAGCCAGGAATCTAACTGAGGGGGTCTAATGTGGGGCAGGGATCTCAACTGCTCTGTGGCATGCCCTGTCCTACATGGTTCTTTTAAGATAAGGAATATGTAGCAGTGCTCCTCTTTGGGCGGCTCTAGCATTTTCCTGCAAACAAAATTACTGGCTATGTGGCTTAGCTCCTGTTTTATTTCTATTAGACAAGGTCTTACTCTGTTTGACCTTTCCTACCTGTGACAAGTGAGTTTTCATTTTCTCTTTATGGATCTGCAAAAATAAGACATCACAATTCCAAATACATGTCACTTCCAAGAAATTTATCACTACTGACAAAGTACATATTTGTTTCCAAAGCACTGACACTGTAGTAGCAGAATTAGGCCATAACTACCAAGATCCCAGCACATTTTTTTCTGTTGCTTTCATAGGTGTTGTGCATCCTACTAATTTAACCATGGCAAGACTATCAGAACCTGATTTTTGCTGAGGATGTGGTCACTAGGAGTTAAAATCCCCGATCTCAAGGTCAAGGATGTGTCAGGTTCTGTAGTTAATTATTTAGTGTCTTCAAATTAAGGCTGCATCTCAATATGGCCCCAGTCACTTTTCAGTTGGTGTGTGTGTGTGTATGTGTGTGTGTATGTGTGTGAATGTGTTTGGAGAGGGAGGTGAGGTAATAAACATTTTCTTCCAATTATAATCAGGTAAAGAATCAGGGTATTAGCTGTTTTTCATTCAACTTTAGGGGGTCTGAAATGGACATTTACAGTTTTTTTTTTATTTTTTTGACAGGCAGAGTGGACAGTGAGAGAGAGAGAGACAGAGAGAAAGGTCTTCCTTTTGCCGTTGGTTCACCCTCCAATGGCCGCCGCGGCCGGCGCGCTGTGGCCGGCGCACCGCGCTGATCCGATGGCAGGAGCCAGGAGCCAGGTGCTTTTCCTGGTCTCCCATGGGGTGCAGGGCCCAAGCACCTGGGCCATCCTCCACTGCACTCCCGGGCCACAGCAGAGAGCTGGCCTGGAAGAGGGGCAACCGGGACAGAATCCGGCGCCCCAACCGGGACTAGAACCCGGTGTGCCAGCGCCGCAAGGTGGACATTTACAGTTTTGTGCTACAAAAAATGATGTGTTCCATGGGAGTTCATTCCTTGTTCTACTACCCTCTCCTAGTGAAAGTAATTTATTATTTTTTATCTTTTACTGAATCTGCTTTCGATTTTCTCTTTAGATTGTGACTTGTCAGGATGTCATCCTATTAATGCAGAACAAAAATGCCAAGTTGTATGAAAATACTTCAAAAAAGTTCATGGAAAATCAGAATTAAAAGGTAAATCTATTTGGGTGCAAGTTTTTTAAATACATGCATAATTTTTCACTGTATGCATTTTTCATGAATTTTTAAAAGACCCTTTGAATGCATTGTTTAGATAAGTAGGTGTGGGTTCTTTCTTAAGAACTGGTGCAGCATTACAGTAATTGGATTGAAGTGTCAAAATCTTACCAAAGTTGGTTTGATTCTGAAACTTTTAAAAGAAAACAAGAACTTAGAGTTTTCAAAGTTAGCATTCTAATTATAGGAATGCCTATCGGTTTCCCATGGCCAATACACCTGCTTTGGAACTGTGAATGTACAGTGGAGGGCTGAGACATCTAGAAAGGTCAGGTCTTTGATATTTATTGGCTGATATTCTAGTGTTATGAATTTGATAAATTGAAGAATAAATCACCTTTTTTTGTTGAAGTAATGCAAACTTGGATAATGTAATCACAGGTCTATGAATGCCTTCCAATGACATTCTAGAAAAATGCATTGCCTTACAAATGGTATAGGATGTAGTTTCCCTTGAGAAGATAGCAACTCCTGATGAATGGATTGTTTTTAGCAGGAAATAAGCTGCTCATGTTAAAGTGATTGAATATTCTCTTTCCAATCTTATATAAAGTGGCCGAACAGAAATGGTTTTTAGTATGATAGGTATTCTCTTGAGTGCCGAAAGCAATAGATCAACTATTAGACTTACAAACATTTTCTTTATGAGTGTTTCCCATATATTTTTCATCTGCTTGGACACAACATGCTATCCTTAAATATTAGATCACAAAAGCCATAAGTCCTACAGTAAATGTAATACATTCTATGTAGTTATTGGGAAATTAATTACTAAGTATTTTGTTTCTTTGATAAAGCTTTTATGAAGTGCTTTGGGGTTTTTAATCTATATTTTTCAAAATATATAATTGCATTCCAGGTTTTTTGTTGAAGCCTTTGACACAAAGAAATATGTCAGAATGTTTTCTTTATATATAATTTCAGCTTTCATATTCTTTGGTTTGTTGACTCCCCCTTTAGGGCATTTTGCTGGAAAGAGACTTACTTTTCACTTGGTGCCTTTGAGAAAGTCATTATTAAAAAAAATGACCACTGGCAATGCCTCTGTCCACCAGCTTGCCGCACTAGTCCACCAATGAGAGAAGCTACAGCCATGCTTGTTAGCCAATTTTTCATATCCACTTACCTAGTTATTATTAGTACACAGGAAAGCTTATTTTAGTAGTTGTTGTTTCCAGGTTAGGCTATTTTCCCCCTATAATTCTAATAATCTGGGTTGGTGACCTCATGATTTGTGCCATGCAAATGTTATGCAGTACTCGTCCACACAGAACCCTTCACAGCATTGCTGGTGATTATATTTCTGGTAAGCAGCCTCTGTAACTCTACTTCTAGAACTCTAGGTGCTTCCCCTTTGATATTACTTTTGGAATAGAGAGCTCCCATCCTCACTCCTCACATCATTAAGCAAGTTTGCAGTCCATGGAAGTGGCCAAACCTTAGCAGGGAAACTGGTTAAGCACAAACTTCTCATCCCTTTAGCCTGGCCCATTTCTCTCCTCTGGCTATATATGTCATTAAACTCTCATTACTTTGAGGAAAACTCAATATAAAATACAAAATGAAGTTCTAGGCCTCAAAAGTTTTATATGTGTATATATATATATATATATATATATTTGTTTTGTGTTTTGACAGGCAGAGTTAGACAGTGAGAGAGAGAGAGACAAAGAGAAAGGTCTTCCTCCTGTTGGTTCACCCCACAAATGGCCTCTACGGCCAGTGCGCTGCACCCATCCGAAGCCAGGAGCCAGATGCTTCCTCCTGGTCTCCCATGCAGGTACAGGGCCCAAGCACTTGGGCCATCCTCCACTGCCTTCCCGGGCCACAGCAGAGAGCTGGACTGGAAGAGGAACAACTGGGACAGAAGCCGGCGCCCCAACCAGGACTAGAACTAGGAGTGCTGCTGCCTCAGGCTGAGGATTAGCCTAGCAAGCTGCAATGCCAGCCAAAAGTGATGTATTTTCTTATTGTGTCATTCAACAAATTTGCATTGTGCATCTGCTATGTGTCAGGCTTGGCGCTGTGCTTTTAGGAAAATCCAGGGTAAAATAAGCCATCATTTCTGAAGGAGAATGTAAAAGGGAGAGTAGTAGAAGAGGAAAATTTGGAAATAAACCACAAATGTGAGAGAGAATATTAAGGAAGCCTAATGTTTATTCTTTGGAAAGCTAACAAGATAGACTACAGGAAAAGACTGAACAAGAAAACTGAGAAAATAAAAATCATGCTTAGTGAAAAAAGATGATGACCTTAGACACATTAGAGATTTAAACATACTAAGACAACAGTTATAAAAGAGGAAGCCAGATAGTACACATGTGACAAGCTGCTCAAAATCATTCATAATCTGAGAAATGCAAATGTAAACACCATGAGATATCTTTTTATGCCTTGTGCATTGGCAGAGTCAGAGAGCTAGATGATGTCAAGTGTTAGCAGGTGCTAAGAATCCAGGGATGAAGAACACTGATTCATTGTGAGTACAAATAGACGGGTTCTATCAAGCAGGAGAATTGGCTGATATTGTATAATCTAGTTAAGTATACACTTGTGCTTCATGATCCAACATTTACACTCCTAGTTTTATGCTGTAGGGTGGTTAACTCTAGTGTCAACTAAACTGGGCAATGGTCAATTTTACGTTTGCCCAGATATCCAATCAAATATTATGCTGTGTGTTTCTGGATGAGGTTAACATTTGAATCCATAGGCTGAGTAACACACATGGCTCTCCCTAGTGTGGTGGATCCCATCCAGTCAGTTGAACCCTTCAGTAAAATCAAAAGAATGACCCATCCTTGAGTAGCAGAGCGTTTTCCCTGTTTGATGTCCTCTGAACTAGGGCCCAGGCTTTTGTTTTAACCTTTGGATTAGAACTGAGACATCAACTCTTCCTGGGTCTTGAACCTGCCAGCTTTGTATCTGCAGGTACACCATTGGCTCTCCTGGGTATCCGGCCTCTGTCTCAGCCTGCAGCTGTGGGAACATTCCAACCTCCACATCTGTAACAGCCAATTTTTCATCTCACTGTCCCTCTCTTTTTCTCATTCACACACACACACACACACACACACACAATTTGTTCTGTTCTCAAGAGAAGCTTCACTAATGGACATGTTAAAGCCTTATAAGGATCTTCATTGTGTTTGTGAAGGTACACACTGGATAGGTAAAATGTGATGCAGTTCACATCATGGATGACTAGGCCATGATTGGAAGCAACACACCAAATGTAACAAGATGAGTAGATAATGAAGATTGAATGCTGAATTAAGAAAGTAAGAAGCAGAATGCAATACGTTATTCAGTATCATTAGTGTAAAATAATAAGGCATGCATATAAAGCAATAGTATATATTTTATAAGACAAATGTCTATCTTACCAGGATATATTTTTTCACATAAATAGAAATCTATGTGTGCAGGCATGCATGCATAATTCACACACACATGTGGATGGGTGGGTGGATGGATTTTGCCTTACGTGGAGAGAGAAATGAGAGCAGACTATGGAAATAAGAGGGAAAGGATAAAAATTCAAATAAATAAATAATAAGAGCTTTACCTAGGCTAATGCACCAAAAACTGTGGAATGATTAATTATACTCTGCTTCTTAAGGGAGAGAACGAAAATCTGATTGCATCCAACATTAATTAGATTACTTTAGACAAGGCAAATAAACAAGAGTCAAGCTCCTGAGGATCAGAGATTCTGAGAACTGCTAAGTTCCCTTGAGGTTGTTGATCCAATGTACCATGCAAGGCTGAATCATCTCCCCAAGCTCTCTGGGAAAAGGCTGTGCAGCCTGTGCCAGCGCCCTCTGCTGGTGATAAGCTCAGAGCTCATTTTACCTGTGGATACCTGTCTGCTTGAAAGAGCTTCAGTCTACCCCAGGCTCCTGAATGGATCAAGACTTCCTTCTCATAATTTGGTTCCTTTTTCCTAACTTCCTTTGGCTCATTTTGGTCTCAACATATTACCAAAGATATATAAAGACATTTTTCTTGGTATTTAAATCTTGAATGTCTTGACTCCAACTTGGGAAAGCTTGGATAAAGGAAGGGTCCTTTCCTTAATCTTCAACTTCACTGCACAGCATGGAAATATATTTCTCCAGCTCAAAAATCCCATGAGTCATAGAATTACCTTTAATTCTTATCTAACTAAAATGTCACTGAGAATCCCATAAATGAGCATCGATATTGAAATAATTATTACATAAAATATAAGAGTCCAATGTTAAATGTGCAACTTTGGTTTATTAAATAACTTCTATTTGTATGGTCATGGTATCTGGTAAGGACTGAAAGAAAGGAAACTGGGTCCCTACTCAGAAGGAAATGAATACACAGGAGATTTGTGTCATGGAGGCTGCTGCATTCCTTTCATTAGTGTCCATTCACTTAGAAGTAAGCATGGCCCAGCCTGTCTCTGCAAAAGTGTCAACTTAGATAAAATATTATGTGATAGCTAAAACACAAAATACTAAATGGCTCACTCACCATTTTTTGAAAGGATTTATTTATTTATTTATTTATTTTTGACAGGCAGTGTTAGTGAGAGAGAGAGACAAAAAGAAAGGTTGTCCTTCCGTCGGTTCACCCCACAAATGGCCGAAATGGCTGGTGCGATGTGCCGATCTGAAGCCAGGAATCAGGTGCTTCCTCCTGGTCTTCCATGCAGGTGCAGGGCCCAAGCAGTTGGGCCATCCTCCACTGCCTTCCTGGGCCACAGCAGATAGCTGGCCTGGAAGAGGAACAACCGGGACAGAACTGGCACCCCAAATGGGACTAGACCCTGGAGTATCGGAACCACAGGCAGAGGATTAGCCAGCCTAGTGAGCCAAGGTGCCGACCTATTTTTTTTTTTGAAAATGGAATTTTCTTTATTTTTTTATTTAGTAAATATAAATTTCGAAAGTACAGTTTATGGGTTACAATGGCTCCCCCCTCCATAATTTCCCTTCCACTCGCACCCCTCCCATCTCCCTCTCCCTCTCCCATTCCATTCACATCAAGATTCATTTTCAATTCTCTTTATATACAGAAGATTGATTTAGTATATATTAAGTAAAGATTTCATCAGTTTGCACCCACACAGAACACAAAGTGTAAAATACTGTTTCAGTACTAGTTATAGCATTACTTCACATTGGACAAAATATTAAGGACAGATCCCACATGAGAAGTAAGTACACAGTGACTCCTGTTGTTGACTCAACAATTTGACATTCTTGGTTATGGCATCAGTAATCTCCCTAGGCTCTAGTCATGAGTCGCCAAGGCTGTGGAGGCCTTTTGAGTTTGCCAACTTCGATCTTATTCCGACAGGGTCATAGTCAAAGTGGAAGTTCTCTCCTCCCTTCAGAGAAAGGTACCTCCTTCTTTGATGGCTCCATTCTTTCCACTGGGATCTCACTCGCAGAGATCTTTCATTTAGGTGTTTGTTTTTTTTTTTTTTTTTTTTTTTTTTTTTTTTTTTTTTGCCAGAGTGTCTTGGCTTTCCATGCCTAAAATACTCTCATGGGCTCTTCAGCCAGATCTGAATGCCTTAAGGGCTGATTCTGAGGCCAGAGTGCTGTTTAGGACATCTGCCATTCTATGAGTCTGCTGTGTATCCTGCTTTCCATGTTGGATCCTTCTCTCCCTTTTTGATTCTACCAGTTAGTATTAGCAGACACTAGTCTTGTTTGTGTGATCCCTTTGACTCTTAGACCTATCACTGTGATCAATTCTGAACTGAAATTGATCACTTGGACTAGTGAGACGGCATTGGTGCATGCCACCTTGATGGGATTGTATTGGAATCCCATGGCACATTTCTAACTCCACCATTTGGGGCAAGTCCGATTGAGCATGTCCCAAATTGTACATCTCCTCCCTCTCATTCCCACTCTTATATTTAACAGGGATCACTTTTCAGTTAAAATTTAAACACCTAAGAATAATTGTTTGTGAATTACAGAGTTCAACCAATAGTACTAGAACAAAACAAAACAAAACAAAAAAACTAAAATTGTGGGGAGCAACTCAGGACTAGACTGTTACTGGAATTAAGACTTATTCTATGCATCTGCTCTCCCACAATATGGTGCTGGGAGAGGAGTAAACAACTTCTACACAGCTGCCTCTCGCCAATTTGACTGATGAGCTGCAGGAGCTGATCTTGCTCCTAATTGGAGGAGAGCAGCATGCTCGGCGTGTGGGTAGCAGAGTTGGGATTGGTGGAAGAGGACTATAAAAGAGGAGAGAGACGGCACAGAGGTGGAAGGGTCGGCAGCCAACCCGGAAAGGACCAGCAGCAAACCCGGGAAGGGCCTGAGCAGACAAACAGCGCAGGGTCCTGTGTCATTCCTCCACGAATGGGGGAGCGACATAATGGTGCTGTGACTTGGATAGGAAGCCTAGGAGGGATAATGGTGCCGTGACTCGGATATGAAACCTAGGAGGGAAGAAGTGGGAAAATACCAGAGAGAGAGACTAGCAAAGAGCCTAGGGAAAAGCCGGACAGAAAAAGTGCCGGGAGAAATCTAGGGTTGAAAGTGAAAGTGAAAGCAAGAAGAAACGTAGGCTCGGATACGGACTACGGGGGGAAGCTGGGAGAAATCTAAGATTGAAAGTGAAAGTGAAAGCTAGAAGAAACAGACTGGGATATGGACTGTGGGGAGAAGCCAGGAGAAATGAGAGAGAAATATTGTTGGAAGAAAAGTTAGGAAACATACCGGGTAGAGAAAAATATGTTAGGGAAAATGAAGCCGCGGGGGTAGGCCGAAACGGAGACGTAAGCTAGGTTGGGATTCGTCAAGTCAGCCCGGGGAGCAAAAGGTGAAAAACTATACCGGAAGTGGAGACGTAAGCTAGGTTAGGATCCGTCAGATTAGCCCAGGGAGCAAAAAGACGGGAAGCCAAACCGAAAAGCGGAGGCGTAAGCTAGGTTGGAATTCATCAGGTTAGCCCGGGGAACTTAGACTGAAGACCGGTAGCAGAAACGTGAGCTAGGCCGTGATTCGCGGAAGCTGCTGAGCACAGAGAAAGCACGTGGGGCACAAGCGGAGAGAGCACACAGGGCGCGAGTGGATAGGAGAGCGCGGGGCTGGCGCGGAGGCCGTGGTGCGGGCATGAAGGGTGCGGAGACCGCGCAGCGCGCGCGAAGCCGGGAAGCCACGCAGATAAGAGAAGCGCAGGCTGAAGCCACGCAGAGCCGGGAAGCTGCCGCGGGGTGAGGCGCCGAGAAGCCGCCTCGGGGCAGGCGCCGGGAAGCCGCGGGGATAAGAGAAACAGAAGTATAGAAGTAAAATGAGAGAAATAAGAATGCTGGCAGATAGAAGTAAAATAGGAGAGATAGGAATGCCCAGAGATAGAGAAATAGAGAAAAATAAGGCCTCCCCACAACACAGCAATGAGAGGGCTTGGATTCGGTCTGCCTGATTAGTAAGGCGATAAGCACTTGCAGGCAGCTTGAGCAGAGTGTGCGCTGCAGGGCACCGAACATAGGCATGCATCAGCGCCTAAAAACCTCCTCACAACATGGCAAAGAGAGGACCTGGATTCAGTTTGCCTGATTGGTATGGCTTGTAAGCACCTGTGGGCAACTCTAGCAAGCAGAGCAGAGTGTGCGCCGCTGGGCACCGAAGACAGGCGTGTATCAACGCCAAAGAATAAAAAGAAAAAATAAAAAATTGTGGGGAGCAACTCGGACTAGACTAAGTTACTGGAATTAAGACTTATTCTATGCATCTGCTCTCCCACAGTATGGCGCTGGGAGAGGAGTAAACAACTTCTGCACAGCTGCCTCTCGCCAATTTGACTGATGAGCTGCAGGAGATGATCTTGCTCCTGATTGGAGGAGAGCAGCGTGCTCAGCATGTGGGTAGCAGAGTTGGGATTGATGGAAGAGGACTATAAAGGAGGAGAGAGACAACATGCACCAGGAACATCCGGATAACATCTGAGCAGCCCCCGAGAGAGCTGGCCAGCGGTGTGCCGCTCCCCTGCAGAAGTGGGGAAAGTGACAGGCGGAGCCGCCCCTCCACGGAGGTGGAGGGGTCGGCAGCCAACCCGGGAAGGACCAGCAGCAAATCCGGGAAGGGCCGAGCAGACAAAAGAACAGTGCAGGGTCCTGTGTCGTTCCTCCGCGAATCGGGGAGCGGCATAAAATGGATAAAGTATTAGATTGTACATCAATAGTCAGGACAAAAGCTGATCAAGTCACTGTTTCTCATAGTGTCCATTTCACTTCAACAAGTTTCCCCTTTGGTGTTCAGTTAGTTGTCACTGATCAGGGAGAACATATGATATTTGTCCTTTTGGGACTGGCTTAATTCACTCAGCATAATGTTTTCCAGATTCCTCCATCTTGTTGCAAATGACCGGATTTCATTGTTTTTGACTGCTGTATAGTATTCTATAGAGTACATGTTCCATAATTTCTTTATCCAGTCTACTGTTGATGGGCATTTGGGTTGGTTCCAGGTCTTAGCTATTGTGAATTGAGCTGCAATAAACATTAAGGTGGGCCGGCGCCGCGGCTCACTAGGCTAATCCTCCACTTTGTGGCACCGGCACACCGGGTTCTAGTCCCGGTCGGGGTGCGGGATTCTGTCCCACTTGCCCCTCTTCCAGGCCAGCTCTCTGCTGTGGCCAGGGAGTGCAGTGGAGAATGGCCCAAGTGCTTGGGCCCTGCACCCCATGGGAGACCAGGATAAGTACCTGGCTCCTGCCATCGGATCAGTGCAGTGCACTGGCCACAGCACGCTGGCCGTGGTGGCCATTGGAGGGTGAACCAATGACAAAGGAAGACCTTTCTCTCTGTCTCTCTCTCTCACTGTCCACTCTGCCTGTCAAAAAAATTTTTTTAAAAAATTAAAAAAAAAACATTAAGGTGCAGACAGCTTTTCTGTTTGCCAATTTAATTTCCTTTGGGTAAATTCCAAGAAGTGGGATGGCTGGGTTGTATGGTAGGGTTATATTCAGGTTTCTGAGGAATCTCCAGACTGACTTCCCTAGAGGCTTAACCAGTTTGCATTCCCACCAACAGTGGGTTAGTGTCCCTTTTTCCCCACATCCTCTCCAGCATCTATTGTTGGTAGATTTCTGAATGTGAGCCATTCTAACTGGGGTGAGGTGAAACCTCATTGTGGTTTTGATTTACATTTCCCTGATTGCTAGTGGTCTTGAACATTTTTTCATGTGCCTGTTGGCCATTTGGATTTCCTCTTGTGAACATTGTCTATTGAGGGCCTTGGCCCATCTCTTAAGTGGGTTGTTTGTTTTGATGTTGTGGAGTTTCTTGATTTCTTTGTAGATTCTGGTTATCAACCCGTTATCTGTTGCATAGTTTTCAATATTTTTTCCCATTCTGTCAGTTGCCTGTTCACTCTCCTGACTGTTCCTTTTTCAGTACAGAAACTTCTCAATTTGATGCAATCCCAATAGTTAATTTTGGCTTTGAATGCCTGTGCCACCAGGGTCTTTTCTAGGAAGTCTTTGCTGGTACCTATATCTTGAAGGGTTTCTCCAATGCTCTCTAATAATTTGATGGTGTCAGCTTCGTAGAGTTAAGTCTTTAATCCATGTTGAGTGAATTTTTGTGTAAGGTAAAAGGTAGGGGTCTTGCTTCATGATTCTGCACAAACAATTCAGAGCAATCGAAAAAGAGGGAATCCTCCCAAATTCTTTCTATGAAGCCAGCATCACGTTAATTCCTAAGCCAGAAAAAGATGCAGCATTGAAAGAGAATTAGAGACCAATATCCCTGATGAACATAGACGCAAAAATCCTCAATAAAATTCTGGCCAATAGAATGCAACAACACATCGGAAAGATCATCCACCCAGACCAAGTGGGATTTATCCCTGGCATGCAGGGATGGTTCAACATTCGCAAATCAATCAATGTGATTCACTACATTAACAGACTGCAGAAGAAAAACTTTTTTATCTCAATAGATGCAGAGAAAACATTCAATGAAAAATAACACCCTTTCATGATGAAAACTCTAAGCAAACTGAGTATGGAAGGAACATTGTTCAGTACAATCAAAGCAATTTATGAAAAACCCACAGCCAACATCCTTTGAATGGGGAAAAGTTGGAAGCATTTCCACTGAGATCTGGTACCAAACAGGGATGCCCACTCTCACCACTGCTATTCAATATAGTTCTGGAAGTTTTAGCCAGAGCTATTAGGCAAGAAAAAGAAATTAAAGGGATACAAAATTGGAAGGAAGAACTCAAACTATCCCCCTTTGCAGATGACATGATTCTTTATTTAGGGGATCCAAAGAACTCTATTAAGAGACTATTGGAACTCATAGAAGAGTTTGGCAAAGTAGCAGGATATAAAATCAATGCACAAAAATCAACAGCCTTTGTATACACAGACAATGCCATGGCTGAGGAAGAACTTCTAAGATCAATCCCATTCACAATAGCTACAAAAACAATCAAATACCTTGGAATAAACTTAACCAAGGACGTTAAAGATCTCTATGATGAGAATTACAAAACCTTAAAGAAAGAAATAGAAGAGGATACCAAGAAATGGAAAAATCTTCCATGCTCATGGATTGGAAGAATCAATATCATCAAAATGTCCATTCTCCCAAAAACAATTTACAGATTCAATGCAATACCAATCAAAATACTGAAGACATTCTTCTTAGATCTAGAAAAAATGATGCTGAAATTCATATGGAGACACAGGAGACCTCGAATAGCTAAAGCAATCTTGTACAACAAAAACAAAGCTGGAAGCATCACAATACCAGACTTCAGGACATACTACAGGGCAGTTGTAATCAAAACAGCATGGTACTGGTACAGAAACAGATGGATAGACCAATGGAACAGAATAGCAAACACCAGAAATCAATCCAACATCTACAGCCAACTTATATTTGATCAAGGATCTAAAACCAATCCCTGGAATAAGGACAGTCTATTCAGTAAATGGTGCTGGGAAAATTGGATTTCCATGTGCAGAATCATGAAGAAAGACCCATACCTATTTTTTATTTTTTTAGAAAACTTTTATTCAATGAACACAAATTTCATAGGTACAGCTTTAGGAATATGGCGGTTCTTCTCCCCATACCCACCCTCCCACCCCCATTCCCATCCTACTCCCACTCCCTTTCCCAGCCCATTCTTCATTAAGATTCATTTTTACTTATCTTTATATACAGAAGGCCAACTCTATACTAAGTAACTATTTCAACAGTTTGCACCCACAAAGACATGCAAAGTATAAAGTACTGTTTGAAGACAGGTTTTACAGTTAATTCTCTTGGTACAACTCATTAAGGATGGAGATCCTACATGAGGTGTAAGTGCACAGTGACTCCTGTTGTTGATTTAACAATTGACACTCTTATTTATGGCATCAGTAATCACCCAAGGCTCTTGTCACGAGCTGCCAAGGCTATGAAAGCTATTTAGACAGGGCCATAAGCAAAGTGGAAGTTCTTTTCTCCTTTCAGAGAAAAGTACATCCTTCTTTGATAGCCCCTTCTTCCCACTGGGATCTCACTCACAGAGGTCTTTCATATAGATCATTTTTTGCCACAGTGTCTTGGCTTTCCATGCCTGAAATGGGAAGCCTGATCTGAATGCCTTAAGGGCTGATTCTGAGGTCAGAGTGCTGCTTAGGGCATTTGTCATTCTTTTCTTGTTTGTTGTTTGTTTGTTTTGGACAGGCAGAGTTAGAGAGAGAGAGAGAGAGAGAGAGAGAGAGAGAGAGAGAGAAAGGTCTCCTTCCGTTGGTTCACCCCCCAAATGGCCACTACAGCTGGTGTGCGCTGCTGATCCGAAGCCAGGAGCCAGGTGCCTCCTCCTGATCTCCCTTGCAGGCGTAGGGCCTAAGTATGTGGGCCATCCTCCACTGCCTTCCCGGGCCACAGCAGAGAGCTGGGTTGGAAGAGGAGCAACTAGGACAGAACTGGCACCCCAACAGGGACTAGAACCCGGAGTGCTGGCGCCACAGGTAGAGGATTAGCCTAGTGAGCCATAGCACCAGCCAGGGGATTTGTCATTATATGAGTCTGCTGTGTTGGATCATTCTCTTCTTTTTAATTGTATCTATTGTTTTTACCAGACAATTAGCTTATTTATGTGATCCCTTTGACATCTCTTCCCTCTCTTATTCCCATTCTTACTTTTTACTAGGATCTATTTTCAACTGGATTTAAACAACTATGAATAATTCTGTGTTAAATAAAGAGTTCAACCAATAGTATTAAGTAGAAAAAGAAACTGGTAAAAAAAAATAATAAACTGTTCCTCAACAGTCAAGACAAGGGCTGTTCAAGTCACTGCTTCTCATAGTGTAAATTTAACTTCTACAGATTTTCTTTTAGGTGGTCTGTTGTCACAGATCAGGGGGAACATGTGATATTTGTCCCTTAGGTACTGGCTTATTTCACTAAGTATGATGTTTTCCAGATTCATCCATTTTGTTGCAAATGACTGGATTTCATTTTTTTTACAGCTGTGTAGTATTCCATAGAGTCTATATCCCATGATTTCTTTAACCAGTATGGGCATTTAGGTTGAATCCATGTCTTAGCTATTGTGAATTGAGCTGCAAAAAACATGGAGATGCAGATAGCTCTTTTATTTGCTGATTACATTTCTCTTGGATAAATTCCGAGGAGTAGCATGGCTGGATTGTATGGTTAGGACTATGTTCAGGTTTCTGAGGTACCTCCAAACTGTCTTTCATAGTGGCTTTATCAGTTTGCATTCCCACCAACAGTGGATTAGGGTACCTTTTTCCCCACATCCTCTCCAGCATTTGTTATTTGTTGATTTCTGTATGAAAGCCATTTTAACTGGGGTGAGGTGAAACCTCATTGTGGTTTTGATTTGCATTTCCCTGACGACTAGTGATCCTGAACAGTTTTTCATGTGTCTGTTTGGATTTCCATTTGTGCCATTTGGATTTCCTCTTTTGAAAAATGTCTAAGTCCTTGGCCCATCTCTTAACTGGGTTGTTTGTTTTGTTGTTGTGGAGTTTCTTGATCTCTTTGTAGATTCTGGTTATCAACCCTTTATCAGTTATATAGATTGCAAATAATTTTTCCCACTCTGTCAATTGCCTCTTCATTTTCCTGTTTCTTTTGCCATATAGAAACTTCTCGATTTGAATTAATCCCATTTGTTAATTTTGGCTTTGACTGCCTGTACCTCTGGGGTCTTTTCCAAGAACTTTTTGCCTATGCCAATGTCTTGCAGGGTTTCTCCAGTGTTCTCTAATAATTTGAGGGTGTCAGGTCCTAGATTTAGATCTTTAGCCCATGTTGAGTGGATTTTTGTGTAAGGTGTAAGGTAGGGGTCTTGCTTCATACTTCTGCAGGTGGAAATCCAGTTTTCCCAGCACAATTTGTTGAAGAGACTGTCCTTGCTCCAGGGATTGGTTTTAGCTTCTTGATCAAATATAAGTTGGTTGTAGATGTTTGGATTGATTTCTGGTGTTTCTATTTTGTTCCATTGGCCTTTGTATGTGATTTATTACTAGTATCAGGCTGTTTTGATTATAACTGCCCTGCAGTATGTCTTGAAATCTGGTATTGTATGCCCCAGCTTTAGCTATTTGAGGTCTCCTGTGCTGCCATATGAATTTCAGCATCATTTTTTTTTATTTCACAGATAGAGTTAGACAGAGAGAGAGAGAGAGAGAGAGAGAGATCTTTCTTCTGTTGGTTCACCCCCAAAATAGCTGCTATAGCTGGAGCTACTTTGATCCAAAGCCAGGAGCCAGGCACTTCCTCCTGGTCTCCCATACTGGTGCAGGGGCCCAAGCACTTGGGCCATCCTCCACTGCCTTCCTGGGCCACAGCAGAGAGCTGGACTGGAAGAGGAGCAACTGGGACTAGAACCCGGCACCCATATGGGATGCCAGCACTGCAGGCTGAGGATTAACCAAGTAAGCCATGGCGCTGGCCCCTCAATGCCATTTTTTCTAAATCTGAGAAGAATGTCTTTGGTATTTTGATTGGTGTTGCATTGAATATGTAAATTGCTTTTGGAAGAATGGACATTTTGATGATATTGATTCTTCCAATCCATGAACATGGAAGATTTTTCCTTTTTTTTTCTTTTGTATCTTCTTCTATTTCTTTCTTTAATGTTTTGTAATTCTCATTGTAGAGACCTTTGACATCCTTGGTTAAATTTATTCCAAGATATTTGATTTTCTTTTGTAGCTATTATCAATGGGACTGATCCTAGAAGTTCTTTCTCAGCTGTGGCATTGTCTCACACACCATTAACACATGGTTATGCAAGGCAGACTGCATGTTTTAAGTTAATTTTCTCACTTACAGTAACTCAAAAAACTGGAGGGCCCAGTGCTGTGGCATAGTGGGTAAAACTGCCACCTGCAGTGCCGACATCCCATATATACTTGGTCGAAGTGACCCCATGTTAGACACACACCACCCAGAATCATAACACCATTTCTCGATTCCTCCTTTTACTTTTGGTTCGCCTGGCAAATTCACATAAGGGACTGATCATCTCAGAATTCAGAACCAAGTCATCTTCCCTCACTCGAGAGAGGTGACTCTCTGGAGATACCGTGTGGGCATACAGCCTTGACCTAATGAATCAAGGAGGTCCCCCACTAAGCAGAGGACATACTTACAATCTGATACACTGCTGTCCGTCTAACGTAGGGAATCCCCTGCATAATGCCATCAGCTGCTGAGGTGCTATGAATTTGTTTTGTTATGGCAGAAGTGCTGTGGGTGTCTTTCCTTTGGCTAGAATTGGCATGGCACACCAGTCTTAAGTGCTCAAACATGGGAAAGATACCCCCCTCTCAGAAGCCTACAGAGATTACCAAACATAATGAATCTGTGAGTGATAAGAGCCTGTCAATCCAGGCCTCTGCCTCACAGGCAACAGTTGACTTAGGGAGAGAGAGCTCTGACAGTGAAAATGACATGACAGCAGATAATGCAGCAATGCCTAGTCAGCCACCTCCCAAATACCCATGGGATGAACTTAGATAACCTCGAGGTGATAACCCATGCGAGGTCATCCCATCTGAACCCAGTGAGGATCCCCATATTTGTGGCAGTCCTTGGGCACCCAAGGCTCTCAGGGCAGCCACTAGACCCCATCCCACCTGCATGTTTGCCATTAATGTATGAGCGGATGCAGAATTCAGGCCCTGGATTCCAACGCCCGTAAAAAGGCTTCTGCTAACCAAGGGCAGAGTATATGCTTGTGTCTTTCCAGAGATTGGGGACAGCCCATTTGGTTACCAGGCAGAAACATCAAGCCTGCAACTGACCGTCAACCAGAACTAGCTGAACAAGACTTAAGAGTCTGCCTTATTAGTGGACATACCTGCTACTGATTGTCAAGCTGCTGCCCTATCATCCTACCCTGAAGAACTTCCCATAGCAACATCCACTACTGTTTTATAGCTCTGGTCAGCCATTCGAATGGCCAATAGCCTGCGTGCAGTCATGCTATTCCTGATTACCATCGTTCCTCATTCCTACCCCCATCTGAGCAAGCACTCCTGTGGTCTCCTGTTTTGAGCACTGGTTAGTCAATGACGGGTAAGATCCCCTGGGGGACAACCTAAGACAGGCACAGCTGCATGAGGAGACCACATGGAAATGGGGACAACAATGGTATGGCCCAGAATCATGCCTTCTGTTGCTCAAAAATAAACAAAAGGGGGAAATGTGGTGGAATAAGAAGGCCATGCCAAGATGGCCACTGGCAAGCAAGTGTCAGTTACTCAGGAATGGCTTCCAAACCCACCTGACAAAGGAGTCTGCCTGGCAACAGGCAATGATTGGTTAGGGCCTAAACCACCCCTTGACTGCATTGGCTGCCTCGGCTATATAAGCTGCTGCACCAACTGAAGTAAACAAGTGTGCAAGTTGCTCTCCTCTGGCCTGGTTTCACCCGACTTCCAGGGTCTATGTGGTGACTCCGTGCCTCTTGCCCCCACCACACTTCTCCTCTCAGAATGAATCCACCTCAACATGCATGCACACACACATATGCACATCATGTTCCTCCTCTGTGCATCTCTTAAGAAATGGCTCAGCTTGAGCAAAGTTGACAGGAGTGGAA